GTTGTTGTTGTTCCGGGGATCGAACTCCGGTCCTTGCGCTTGCGCAGCAGGCGATGAAACCACTGAGCTAAATCCCCAGCCCTAGTCTTTTCTTTGTAAGTGATTTCTTTATTTTCTTCAATATCCATTCTTATAGTGTTGAACTAAACATGATTTTAACAGGTTTTTCTTCCCCTTTCTATTTTCTTTTCACAATAAATAGCCCCCACTTTTATAAGAAACTGAATTCTACAAATATGAAGCATAATTTCTATAAGTGCTTTTTCTTTGAAAATATTTCTTAATAACGTTCACTCAAGAATTTAAACCTCAATTGCAAATCAGCTTTTTTCACAATCAAAAAAATAGAGTCCCATAAAAGAAATAAATAGGATTATTAAACAGAAACAAATAAAATATCTTGAAAAGAAAAAAGGAAAGAGGAATATTACTGCAACGTAACTCACATAAGCTTCACAATTTTGGCATCTCTCAATGTCAAAATGTGGTCCAATTTCTTAGGATCAATTTGATGTACTGCCAATTATTTTCAACAAGATATTTCTTCACTCCAGCATCCTTTGGCAAATAAGTTGCCTACTATTCCCTACAATAATTATCACAGACTTATACCACATAATATGCCATACATATGGAGGTTTGGTTTTACTGACTGGTTGCTAGGTTTTGAGCGCTTCAAAGTTCATGATAATAAATATAAATCTTGAAGTAATTATTTTAAAAATCTTTTTAGTCAGCATATTAAAAGATAAATTTATTAGGATTGGTCTAGACATCAGAATCAATTGAACTATATCAATGCTTAGAACTATGCCTGTTACATTGTAATTACTTAAAAAATTTTGTCTGATGAACATCACTTAGAAGCTCCTACAGTTACAAGAAAGGATGGTTAATGGCCAGGGATTTAGCTTAGTGGTTCCGCCACCTGCCTTGCAAGCGCAAGGGCCCGAGTTCAATCCCCAGTACCAAAAAAAAAAGAAAGGATGGTTAAAGTGACTAGATCTCAAAAAGGAAAGTAAGTTATCAACAATACTTACTGCAAACTTACTATTTAAAGAGCATTGTGCTCGATTGCTTCCTCTAATCATAATGAAATAATAAGAACTAAATTTAATCTCTAGAAAACTGGGTAAATATTGGTAGCAATATTTTCAGAACTTGAAAATAGGCAGTGAAAAACTGTGAGCCATGGGATAAGAGAAACAAATGAAGCTAGCCTTATAATCACCCCCAGGTTTCTTAGAAGAAATTTCCAAACTTATGTATAGACAGAAGGAAGCCACACAGTCTAACAACCTCCTGAGTTTAGTAGATGAGGACTGAAGTTTACAAAAGAATGAAGTAAAGAGTTACAAGTTGTGGAGCAGAGGTCTGGAAAGCCGGGTAACTGGATTCCTCACAAAAAGGGAGATGGAGAAGACAGAACAATAAAATGAAAAGTTTCCAAAAAACCAGAAACTAAGGATCCACATATTCAAGAGTCTCAGCATGAACACACACACACACACACACACACACACACACACGCACATCAAGAAAAACTGAGGCATATCATAATTAAATTCCTTGAAATAAGTAATTAAGAGAAAGCATTACAAAGTCTTCTATTATGCATTATGTCATCATGGACACTAAGGAAAATAAAAGGCATATTGCCACCACCAAGAAGGATGCTTTGATTGATGTTTAAATGTCAATGTAACTTGCATGTGATAAATTCAAATTTCCTTCTTGGGTTAGGAGGGTAATGAGGGCAAGACCCAAACTCTGAGTATAGAAATCAGTAGTACTGGCTCACAGTCTGAGCAGCATCTGAAAGCAAGATTTTAAAAAAAGAATCTAGGAGCAAAGCCAAAACTGAGAACCACATGCAAATAATGCCATGAAGAATTTGCTCAAATTAGATGAATGAAGAAGCAAACTAAGGCAGTTAATAGGAGGTGAAATGGCAAAAGGTGAGAAGCTCCAGGCTCAATGCTAGCAAGAAAGGTCCTTTGGTGGCAGGATCTGGAGAACCAAAGGGAAAACAATCCTCTAGAAGTGATCAAAGTTGAAACGATGAGCTGGGAAGAGCCTGAGCATTAGACTTAGCATAGATGGAAATCTATGACCTGCAAATACAGATTTCCCTACTAGAAAAGTAAAATTTCTGTAAAATTTTCTAAGAGTGCTTATTATTCCACATCTTCAGACCTCAACTCCTGAAGATTCTGGCTGCATAAGGTTGCTTATTCCTATTGTTGCTTTATCATTTCTATCTTTGCATGAACAAAAACTTTCTAAGTGCTGAGAGTGGATTTTCAGTGGTGGCATGTGTGAGGTCTTAGGTTCAGTCCCCAACACCACACACACACACACAGACACACACACACACACACAAAATAGAAAATAACAAACTTTATGACTAGCCAGACTCACTTCACTTTTTCTCCAACTTATGCATAACAGAACTACCAACTAAACCTTTCCTAAATGCAGTTCACATCAGATTTAAGTTTCTTCAGAGATTTTCAATGCTTCACTCTTTCATTGTATCAAATATGAAGTTGGCCAAGGTCTTCCAACATGTGTCCTCGTTTGAGCTCCTCACTATCATTTCTTCAATGCTTAGTTTGATCTATTCATGTTCACCTTTCTTCTGCCATAATTATGCCTTTGCCATGTTCTTTGTCTTCTCTCTTTTTCCTCTTTTTCTTTCCATTTATCTATTCTTCAAATGCCATCACACAACCTTCAAGTTTTACCTTATGGCTTTTCTGGCTTAAGAACTACTATAGAAATTAAAAACTTATTTAATGGCTTAGTTAATTTTCAGTTCCATGTAAAATGTTCTCATAAATTCCTTTATGTTAATCTTTAATTCTCTTTCAAATGTATGTTTTTCAAGAGTTGTGCCTATAATAAATATTTCCTCTACAGTTTCAACTGCCTAAGATTCAGGGTGGGGGGTATCGAATTCAGAACCTCGCACTTGCCAGGCAGGCACTAAGCCACTGAACTATATCCCCGGCCCTAAGATGGTTTTAAAACATGTTAAATATCAAGAAATAATTGTTGATTGTCACATAAAGTCCACAATTCACATAAACTGGATAATATTCTTCTAACTATATATTTACATATATATTTCACTTAGTTTTTCAATATAATTACAATGCATTTTTATTCTGAAAGCAAATAAATGTGAAATCCAAAAAGACAATAAAAATCTCTAACAATATATGCAATTATATACAAAATGCATATATTTTTCTGTAGTCAATTCCTAATGTGCAGTGATTTAGAGGCCAGACTCTCAAGTAGGATTACATAGGTCATAAGGGAGAATTCTTGCTTATTAAACTATGTTCCCATATTCTTTGTCAGTAGATGAGGGAATCAAAGATCAGAATGATGGAGACATGATGAGTAACAAATTCACAGTGACCTAGAAAACAAATTTGCCCTGCAACCTAAGAGACAAATGCTCATTGGCAGGTTACTCATTGGCAGTAGGGTTGGGTTTTGAGAGGATTAAATGAAATTGAAGCAGGGTCTAAACAAAAGATCTTTTAATTTTCTTCCTGAGAATGAAGAAGGTATTTAGATGTTATCCATCTTCCGAAAAAAACAATCTCAATTTTAAAGCTTACATGTTATATCCTCAGTCTTTTTGAAGAGATCATTCTACAGGATATTTCTTTTTGTTTTTCATACTAATTTCAGATCATGGAACTAAAATAATACACTCTTCCTCAGAGAACCCACTAAAAGTAGATTTTAAGAATTATTATTTTATTATTATCATTATTATTATTACTATTATTTAGACTTTGGTTTGTATATCAAAATACATTTTGCCAAAGCAGCTGCAATAGCTTTGCTCTGTTCACTTCTAGTACTTTGATTTTTATTTAAGTGCTATGAAAATTTAACACATTATTTTGTGCTTGTCACACATAGTGGATGACTAAAAACCATCATCTTTTGTTTATCCCTCACTTGATATCATGCTAAAATTAAAGGATGGATAAAATGTAGCAAACACATGATGTGCTTATGTTAAAGAAAAATGCTAAAGGTATATAATTCCTCATATAGGAACCATTATGGGCATACTAGAGAATTATTCCACCTTTTTGAAACCCAAAGACAGTAGAACTACCATAAAATCTAACAGTAGAATCCGTTTGATTCTCTTTTTCCAACTCTATTTTAAAAAGATCAACACAATTAATTTCTTTAAACCTCAGTAAAGTCAATAAAACTGTTGATTTCCCACCTTTTTCGATGGAAATCCTTAAAGTGGCAATTTGGAAATGAGAAAGCTATGATAGTATTTTAGTATCTGGACCATTACAGTAGAGCAGATATTGTTCATTTAGGTCTTCAATCACCAGATAAAAATACTGTAGATTTAAAGTATATTATGAAATGAATTAACTAATTGGTGACAAAGTTTTAAGTAATTTCTGGTATTCTACAGATTCTGATTTGTAATATACCTATCAGAGAATTGTTGCTCAACTGCTTCACATGACCAAGTAGTCATTATATCAAAAAAAAAAGGAAGAAAATGAAAAAAAAAAGAAGAAAAGAAATTTAAGACAATTCCGTTTTGAAAACAAAGTAATATAGTTCTCATACAATGTGGAGAAAACAAAGAAGTGAGTTTGGGGAAACTTCTTACATTCTTTTATTAAGCACCCCTGAATGTGACTATGTGACATTAGTTAGAATCAGAGTGGGACTAAAACTAAGTGGACTGATTCTGTGACAATTTTCTTCCTTCTCTTGAGATTTCTTGAGTTCACAGTTCACCTGAATTAATTATATAAAAGACAAATTTTAGAAAGAAAGAAAAGAAATAGTTCCTGCCAGTGTTCAGGGATAGCAGAACTCAGATCAAAACCTCCAGAGAACCAACTATTGGTTTCTAGACTTCAATGTTCTATGTGAAATATTTTCATCAAAGAATATAAATGTAGAAGTGAAAGTTGACTTTTCAGATTCAGTACCTTGCCTCACCCAATCTCCATGATGAAGCTTGTGTTCTAATACATGGCAACATCTGTGACATCCAGAAAGCAGTTCTTCCCAGTTAATGGTCATAGTGGCTTCTTCATCTTCCCATGTACTAACAGGCTTTTCAAACAGGGAAATCAAAGCTGCTGTGAAAACAATTGCTCGAACCTTGAAAGAGTCATTGAGTGAAAGTCAAATATAGACAAGATAATTGTTGCAAGAAGATTTTATATTGTTAAAGATTGATAAGGAATAGATAGTGTATTAATAAGAATTCCTTCAGTATTATTTAGAGGATACAAGAATACGGACAAGGTTGGTTAAGCAACTCATTATCACTTTTTTTGATCTGGCATGTAAAACATTATTGTGTTTTTTTAAGCAAAATGTTTATTGGTGCATTTTAGATATACGTAATGGTAACACTCATCCCCCATCATAGGGAATTTGCACCTGTATATGGTATCCCGCCTCTTCTTTTTTTCCTCTCCCCACTCCCTTCAATCCCCCATCCCCTCTCTATATGCAAAAGCTTTGTTTCCATTTTTTCCTTCTATTTTTACTTTTTTTCTTGTCCTTTCCTTCCTTTCTCCTTCCCTTCCCTCCTTTGTTCTCCTTCCCATTTGAACATTTTCTTCCCATTTCCCAATATCTGTTATACATTTTAGTCCTTATTTCCACTTTCGGTTTCTCACACCAGAGAAACAATGTGGTATTTAAACATATGTGTCTGATTTACTTCACTTAAGAATATAATCACTTCTTTTTAAGATACACTTATGATTAAAAACAGACTGAAAAGCTTTCACAATTATGGAATACAGCTGTTCAAATTAAGCTACTTCAGAGGTCTCTGGCATATCTCATTAAGTATAATTTTTCACATGTTGAATGGAATTTGATAGAAACAGAGAAATCAATGTATCAAATGTCTGAGCTTTAGTGTCACTCTCTCTAATGGATCCATCTCTTTGTTATATGATACAGGAAATTAGTATTTCCTAGTTGGATGATACTGAGAATCCCAAAATCTTACAAATGGAGATCAGAACAGATAATTTGAAAGACTTATGGGAGATAAGCTAAGACATTTAATTTTAAATATTTATTAATATTGAGATCAGATAGATTAAGTATCCTATGATGTAAAGCTAGCAAGATTTTCTGAATAAGAAAAAATATGACTATCCAGAGACAAAAAAAAATACAATGAAGATTTGTTTCTCTAAGTCAGAAGAGAAACTGTAATCTAATCCAAGTCTTCCATCTATGTGTGACCTTATCCACTATAAAGTAGTCCAATTAGGAGGTCATACTCATGGCATTTTAATTTCTGTCTTGACATACAGTTCAATAATTAAATCTATAATGTTCAATCTTTTCTTCCCTCACTTACCTTTCCAGCTGTATCTCCTAAGGAAAGAATTGATTCATTGGCATCAAGAGGATTGTACCAATAATCCATACAAATTGGTGTTCCTTTCAGGCCTTGGAGTTTGTATTGACAAGGAAATTCTTCAGACAGCAGATCATAGAAACAAATCTCTTTGCTTGTAAATGTCACCGCTATCTAAAGTAGTAGAATAGAAAGTCGGAAAATATTCCTCGTGAATTTAGTGAAATCAATATGCAAAGCAGACATGCAAATGTAATTGTCAAATCAGACATCGTTCCCTGAGGGGCTTTAACAGTTTTACAGAAGTATAGCATGGTGGCACAAATGTACTTCAGTCTAACATTGAACTCTACCCAAAAGAAACTTTTCTCATTAAAAGCATTTGAACATCCTTTCTTCTCTGTTTCTACTCTACACAGCCACGAATATCCTCCATCCATGGGAGGCAAGAAAGAACACTAATCATATAGGGAAAATAAAGACACAGAAAGCTACAGCATCAAACATCACACCAGACACTTTATTAACCATGTTTTATGAAGCAAGCAGGGATTTTTCACAGAAATGAATTGATAAAAACTGTGTAAGTAGTCTTATTATAAGTTATACAAAATACCCTAAAGGCTGTTTTTAAAAGAGTAAATGATCAAACAACATAAAAATCAGTCAGTGGAAATTCTCCCTGTGGGAGCCACACTATTGGATTTATTAGACAAAGTCTTTAATTCAGCTATCAGAAATACGTTCAAAGGACTAAAGAAATAGTGCCAAAACAGCTAAGTGAAAGTATAAGAATGATGTCTAACTAAAGAAAATATAAAATAAGTAAACACGTATAAATCATTAAAGAAGAATTCTGTTGATCTCTGTTTTTAAATGAAATATTTAATAAATGTAGATTTAGATGACAAGGTAAGATTTACATTTGCATTTTTTCTAACAGAACCCCAAAATATATGGACCAAAAACTGAAAGAATTGAAGAAAAATTTGACATTTCAGTAATAATAGTATCCTATTTTTAATATGGATAGAAACACTAGGCTGAAGATCAACATTTTAAAACAAATAGATATAGACTAACAAGTATCTATTGAACACATCCTACAATATAGCAAAATATACATTCTCCTCAAGAGCATATGAAACATTTTGCAAGATAGACCCATACATTAGGTGACAAACATAAGCCTTAATAAATTTAAAAGATATGATATCATACAAATTTTGTTCTCTGAAAATAATCGGATGAAATTGGGAATTTTATTTAACAAAAGGAAACAGGAAATGTACCTCAGCATAGAAATTAAACAACATAGTCCTAAAAAAAAAGCCAATTAACAAATCACAGGGATATTAGAAAATATACTGAGATGGATGAAAATACAAACATAGCATACACAAGAGATACAACCAATAACCTAACTTTCCATCTTAAAAGAAATCTTAAAGATTAGCATAGAAATTTTTTGAAAATAGAAAGTAGAAAGGAAATGAAAAAAATCAACAAAACTAAACAGGGTTCTTGAGAAGATCAACAAAATTGACAAATCTTTAATTAGACTAAGGGAGGAGAAGATAAAATTATTAAAATTGGAAATAAAGGGGTAGAGTTCTGGGGGTGTAACTCAAGTGTGTGCAAGGCCTTCAGTGTGGACAGTGTGCAGGGAGGAGATGGTAGACAGTATTACCAACTTTAGAGAAACAACAAAATGATTAAAAGAGAAAGTATAAAAGGAAAAGAGGGAAAGGAAAAACTATGAGAAAAGAAAAAAAAATGGAAATGAAATCTATGTAAATAGGGAAGGGTGGAGAGGGTGAAGGGCTCACAGGTAATGGGGAAAAAAATAAGAACCAAGATACATCATGTACAGGTACACGCACCCAATGATAAATGTAAATGAATTGTATACCTAAAGTATGCCAATAAAATGTTCCAATAAAATTAATTTTTAAGAAAGAGAAAGTATAAATAATTATAGGCCAAGAAACTATGTAACTTTAGATATAGAAAAATTCTGAGAAATACCAAAAGTGTCTAAACTAAGTCAAGAAGACTTAGAAAATATCATCATGGCTATTACAAATTGAGAACAAAAGGACTAAATGAGATAAATTCCACAAAGACTATTCCAGTGAAGATGGTGTTACTGATAAATTCTACCAATATTTAAAAAATAATTAATACCAATTAATTATGAGGACTTATAATCTACTATGGGCTTGTCATACAACAAAGTCTATAATTTTCCAGGATTGGACTCATCTGCTTATCAAACCCATTATACATCGAAGCAGGAGCTGATTCTGACTTACACTCTACCTCACTATCACTAACCTAGATTCCTCAAAAAAAAAAAAAAAAAAACCTTGAAAAGATACAGATGAAAACGTGCAATACAGTAGAAAACAAGGGTGGCAACATACCAAATAAGAAAATTCTTGGGAAACAGCTGTTTTGCTTTGCAACCAGGAGAAGAGTTACAAAGTAATGAGAGAAAATTTTCGAAGGTGAAAAATATGCTCACTACCTTCATCATATTGTTGATTTTCCAGAAGAAGACATACATGTACAAAAACTTTTCACATGGAACACTTTCAATATGTGTAGTATATTCTATATAATTATACCTCAATAATACAAAGGAAAGGCTACAATTTAGTTACCAGTTTTAAAAAGAAGAAACACTGTAAGACAAACATAACATGATGCTAGCAGAGCACTGCACACAAATACATAAAAACACATAATCATTCTAGAAATATGTCTTAATCTTCAATGTTCTAATGCTTTTAAGCCTTAGCATTAGATCCTTAGGAAAAACAACTAATAACAGTGTATAGATAAAGCAGCAACAAGGAGGCAGCAGACTGGGAAGTGCAGGCTGAGAAGATGGGCTGCCTCAGTTTACTAATTGTGACAACATTCATTACATCTTGTGTGATTAGGATAAATCACACAACTTTTGCTTGCTCAGCCGCCCATCTTTATGTTGAAATAATAGTACTTTATGGTGATCTAGAGGGGACTAGCTGATCAGGGCATTCCCCATGAAGCTATTGATGATGATTCTTTACTTTTCTAGGCAGTAGAATATATATATTTCCCACTTGAAAGAACCTGACTCTTTAGAAAAGTGGCTGACTACAAGTCAGACACAGGAATTACGCAAGACAGTTCTTGAATATCCTGTCATACCAGGAAGCAAAGTAGCTTCTAAAGACTCACAGTTACAAAAATACTCAAAGCTAACTTGTGTTAGTTCCGTCTAAAGATGGTAGAGGGTTTTGCAAGGGATTAAAAACTCAGTGGATTAAAAAAATCAAATTATTTTAAATCAATGGTTTTAAATTTTACTGACAACAATAATGATGCTAGTGTTTATGGTTTATCTTTAGAAGATACTAGAAAACCAGCTCATTATTTTTAGTGAATAAAGGTGAAGAATCAGATATCTATCCTCCATTTTTATATAATATGTCCCAAATGATAAGTAATTAACGAAGATAATTTCCTTTTATAGTGATATTCCAGATTGTAAAGAGAGAGGAAATGATTAAGCTAGGAGAATATGTACATGACTGGACATTGAATTCTGTTAAGGAGTTAAAGGAAATGATTAAGCTAGGGGAATGTGTACATGACTGGACATTGAATGGAATTACTGCTATTAAGAGTGATACAGGTGTTCTGGTTATGTTAAAAAGATATCTTTAGCAATGTCTTTTTTTGATCTACATGTTTTCCTCCATCTCTTCTGCCTTTTTGCATTTTTTGGATATTGCAGTTGACATATTTTATTAAGCTCAATATTTGTCTGTGAGAGTTAAACTTAATATTTGTCTTACATATCTGGATTTTGCATATTGTGTACATGGGGTAGCTTAACATTATATTACCAGTAAATTGATAATCAAACTTAAGTACTTGATAGTTTCAGACTATCTTTTTTAAAATACAGAACTATTTAGAGTTGAGGTGATTTAATGTTTTCTAATCTAAATGGGAGAGGCAGATGAAACAAGATTGGCTATGTGTTAAAAGTGGCTGTAAAGGTGGATCCAGGTTGCTAATCCTATGCTGTCTTCATGTGTGAACACTTGAAATTGTTTATGATAAAATTTATCTCTGTTTCATGTATTAAGAATATGAGTCCTTTAAGCTAAAAAGTTATTTGACTATCTTATCTTCCGTTGTTTACAGGTAATCAGAAGAAATTTTTTCTGAGTAGGCCCTACTTACTAGAATTAAGAAGCTGACTAGTAAAGCACTCAAAATCAGATAAGCAGCATTATGCTGTGTCAGGCACTTGGCAGCCTCTGCTTTGCGTAAGATCCATGATCCTGCTGTAACCTATACAGGAATAAAGGCTTTATCAGCTACCGATGCAGCATGGCCGCATTAGGAGAGAGCTGAGAATCCCAGCAGTTATCAGCAGTGTCATTTTAAGGCACCCAAGAGAACAGCTTGGAAAATCAAGTAGCTCACTTGGCTGTGTGTGTTTTCCTTCCAGGTCAGTGAGAAGCACCAAATGAATAATTCGGCTCTCTCTCACTATGAGTGTTATACTTGCTGATGATCAGGAGCCCTGTCCCATCATTTGCCCCCTTTTTACAAGCAGTTTATTTTTAAAGATTTTGTACCTTGTTTGCATTTTCCAGGGAAACCAGACTTGTCACCCACAGGTGTTTGAGCTTAGTGGCATCAGAAGTGATGGGAAGTGTTTCTTGGAGCTTTAAATTCTCTCCCCAGATTCCCAGCAAACCTTCTTTGCTAATAGTTATGTAACGACTTGAACTCTTTAAGAAAATTACTTTTTGGATGGTGTCCTTGTGTTTTCCTTCGAGGAATTCAAGGTCCTTCCACTGGGGAACCACAGTTGCTTTTTCTCGTTCATCTTTCTCATAAAGCGATAACAGTATAAATGAAGTCAATTTGTCCCAATTAATAAAGCCATCTTGGTCCACATCCACTTTATCAAAGAGCTCGCCATATTCTTCCTGTGTGCCCCAACCAACAATCTCTGTCATCTTCTGCATGAACTCTTCTCTGGACATACAATTGGTTTTCCTTGACTCTAGGGACTAAAAATAAGAGTAAAAATATGAGTCACAAGTGTAAGCAAAAGGTACAAAAGCATTGGACTAACTGGACATTGGATTGAATCGGCAATTCTAAGATTCAGAGAAAAATATCTTTTACTTCCTAATGCTACTATTATACATTAAGTAAATTTGGTCTGGGTAATAAATAACTTACAAGGCTAGGAGCTGGCATCCTTTGTTATGAATGTCCTTATAACTGAAAGAGGGAGGCAAGAGAGTCAAAGAAGAAGTGGTGATGGAAGCAGAGGTCAGAGGGATGCAATACTATTAGATGAGGAATGCAGGTAGCCTCTAGAAGTTGGAAAGAGCAAGAAAAGGATTCACCCCTATAGCCTCCAGAGGGAAGGCAATCCTTAAGTTTGGCCCTATAAAACACTTTATGAACTTCTGATTTCCAGAACTTTCAATTAATATATATGTATGTTTAATCCGTTAAGTTTATGCTTATTTGTTACAACAGCAATAGAAAACTAATACAGTGCTTTATAGAATATAGATGAATCCTGCACAGGGCTTAGAGCAGCAGGATAATTATAACATAGTAAAACTTTAATCCACGAATAAGAATTTCACTTCTGTAAAGACAGTATTACAAAGAACAGTAAACTCACATGCAGCTGACTATTGCTATGATGTTCTAGAGCAGTGGTGGTGAATCTTTTAGGGCTTTCAATGACACAAACAGCCCACTGTGGCACAAGTGCTGTAGGTTCGCCTCCACTGTTCTATAGTGTTGGCAAACACTCTATTAGCAGACATTGAAACACCGCTTCTGTGGAAATACAGGATCAAGTATCTACAAATTTCTGGTCACCCTGTTTTCATATGTTCCTCAATATATAATTTTGCTTTATGTGTATTTCCATTAAAAGATACCTTACTAATACATAGTATTATTAATTAATCACAGTTAGACACATGGCCAATGGCATTATAAGTTGTGCCTGAATGAAGCTAAAACTCGTATTCTGTCAGTAAAGCACTTCACAACCTTGTTGTGATGTTGAACACTAGTCAGCTCACCAGTGTAATACTTGGAGCTATTGTAAACAACATAAAAATCAATAAAAAAGCAAAAAAGAAAAAGTCAAAATGTGGTACTACAGAGAAATAGGAACAGATACTTATGTATAGTGTGAGAGCTGGAATAAGAAGCCAGAGTATTGACTTGCTTGACTTCAGTTTAAAATGCACCCATTGGGAGACACATTTTTCCATATTCCTCATATGTCTATGGAGGGCCGTGGAAGTACTGTGAATATTGACTTGAAAAGTCACAAATACAGAATCTAGATATAGTAAAGATTGACTATATTTTGAATAAGCATAAAGATTAATATTGGTAGGCTGTTTAGTCCAGTAAGATTTGTGATGAGAAAATCAAGTTTTCCTGTGTTGGATCCAATGAGTCAAGATTGACATTCAGCACAGGAGGCGGCATATTGCAGAACAAATCAAACAAGTGCACTCTTAATCCACATTACACTAGTACTTCACTGCTAAGCCTTCATTTCTCCATATGTACAATGTATATGGCAGCAGCATCACAATAAAATTATTATGAAGATTAACAGATATTATGTGTGCGAGAATTTAATGATCAGATGTTTAATAGAAGTTTGTCCAGGCTTTTAATTAACTATATTAATTTTCTGAAAAATAATTAGTATTCAGTCCTTTGAACCAGACAAAAGCCCATCAATTTATCTCCATTAAATTATTTTTAGTCTAGAAAGCTTAGATGGATGAAATTTTTTAGTGACCCAGATTTTTAGTTCAAAGAAATCTGAACTCAAAAGCATTCATCTGAGCAAAAACTGCAAACTTTTTTTGAAAATTAAGTCAATGTTGATCTTTATTGTAAACTATTTCATCATGATGCCAATCTCATATCTATATCACCATCTCATTATTAAAACAGAATTTTAAAAGCAGTGTATTTGTATGAGCCATTACTTCATTTTTTTCTGAGAACAGAAAATTATCCTGACAAAAGCCAAAACAATTTCCTCATTACATTCAAGAATGTAAAATTGCAAATATCGCATATATAAGAAATTTTTGTCCCCAAAGTAACATAAGAAATTAACTGCATAGTTTTCTGTACAGTGATAGTCCAAATATAAACTGAAGAGATGATAAATACTTTCAATTTATGAAACTGAAAAAAACTACCCACTTGTGTATATATATATATATACATACATATATATACACACACACACCATATATATATATATATATATATATCCCTAACAATTTCATTATTGACTGTTCAGCCATTCACATTTGTACTGTATATTTGAAAATATAATCACATTTTGGCCATACCTTTGGTTAAAATTTAAGAGTTTACCTTTACTGAAAATCTTAACTTATTTACAAAAGCATGTCTCAATCAATATGTAGTCTATGTTTATTAATCATATGCCAACTTGAATAAATTAGTTAAAAGTACAATTACATAAAGTACTTGATCTTTTGCATAAGCTTAGAAGCATGAATACATTAACTTTTACCACACAATTAATTTTCATTTGTCAGTGGTTCCCTCTGGGACTAGAATTAATTCATTCAGTCCTACTGTACATATCATACTGTGTCAGGGAGATTGTGTTGTGGTGTAGCTGGGGTAGCCTCAGTCTCATTTATTGAACTTTTAAATAAGAACAATGATAACTTACTGTTAGTGCTTTTATCAGGATTAATTGATAATTTCATGTATGTATTATACATGGGATAATTTAATGCCTATAGTATTATTTATACGTAAATATTAATTCTCTGGTAAGAGGTTTACAAAAATATTAAGGGCTCTATAACTTAAGTCAGCATATCATTAACATCTAAGAATTTAGCCAGATTCATGTGTAACCTTTTTATGTGCACAAGATCAACATTTCCTCAACGTGGATAACCACAGCTTTCTTTTTTTTTAACCATACCTTTCATTTTGTCTTGAGTCATTTGTAGGGTTGCTCATGATTTTAGGTGTGCCAGAGGTTCCATCCTGAACTTCTGGGCAGGCAGTTACACTACAGAAAAGTAGCTGAGATGGCCCTTCAATCTAAAAGTTAATTTATATATACCATGATTTAGTTGGTACAAGCTCTGAGTTTGTATTAGATTCAGCATTGTGTGACAAAATAATTTATCTTTGAGCTATCTTTGGAAATACAGAGATACAGATGTATGCATATATGTATATAATTAGATTAGTATTAATTTAGTTAGAATATGGATTTTATGCCTGAATCTCCCACACAATATTTGTGTGACCTTGGACCAGCCAGTCATAACCTCTTTTAAGGTTGTAGAGGCTCTAATAAGATAATCTGTATAAAAAAATCATCTATATATAAAATAATTGTGTTCAAACATTAGCTATTGTTGTTGAAGAGGTATACACATAAAGCAAGATTCACAAGCATTATTTAGTATAAATAGGGAAATATTAAGAATTTAGGAAATTTTATTTAGTCATAAAATATAAAGCAAAAATAATTAACTCTCATTCATTTCAAATAAAAGTTTAATTACAATGTATAAAACTCTTTTTCCCAGGAGAAAATTTGTTACAATTTAAATGTAAGACTTTCAGATAAATACTACTTAACAGTGTTTCTGAAACATATGTTTCAATCCTATTAATCAATATTCAGTCCAATCTTTTTGAAGTAAAACATTAGTACTCTTGCCACTATCAGAACAATTTTTCAAGTACAGGTGTAAAGTATATATGCAATTAGAAAACACATCTCTTCCCAAGATTGCAAATTGTTTGCAAATTTATTTTGCTATATATATTTAATTACTGATTTTAAAAGTGACCAATTATTGTCTCAAATTGCTTTTATGAGAACCAAAAAATTAATATACTTAGAATGAATGCCTAGTTGATTATCTCAATAGGCACAACTTAGACTTTTAGAAAATCTATCTTCCTTAGTTTATTTCAAAGAACTTTATAAAAATCATTTATTTTTGGCTAGAAAGCATTTTCTGCACCTACAGTCAGTTCTAGAGAGCAGCACGTGTGTGTGTGTGTGTGTGTGTGTGTGTGTGAATGTATGTGTGTCTATTTTAAAGCATTAACTCTGTAAAATTCTCTTCAGCCTCTGAGTTCTATTAGATCTGAATTTCATTGTAACTTACGTAGAAAGTCACTCTAAACCTAGATGTAAATCTCAAGAATAAAAATACCTTTTGCATGATACCTGACAACCTTTGATTTTGGCACCAAGAAGCAATCGTGTTAAAAATTATTTATCATTTGCTTAAATAAGCCATGCTTATTAGAGAAAATATACATAAAGCTAAAATGAAAATCCTCCATTTACCAGTATAGGCAGAAATAAAAATGACCATGCATTATTTACCAAAGAGTTTCATCATATACATCTTTCATGTAGCTTTTTCCACTTAGATCATACAATAAAGCTATGTGTCTTATAACATATATTGAATTTTATCATCACCTATTCTATGGAGAAAACATATAATTATTTTAACCTGTATTAATAAAATATTTAACTATTCTCAATGTATTACTGTTACATATAAACGACCTTTAATTAAACAAATATCTCCATGCATACATTTCTGCCCTGTTGTGCAATTAATTCCTAAGAAAAATTCCCTAGAAGCAGAAATGCTGAGGCTAAGAATCTGTACATTCTTAAAATTTTTGATATGTCTTGAAAAATCCTCCTCAAAATGTTTGAACAAGCTCACATTCCTATCAACAAAGTATGAGGTTGCCTATACCAAAGGTGCTCACCACACCAACACGTTATTCTTCTTAAGACTTATCAACTATTTCTTAAAAATAGTTTCAGTAAACCTAAATGTTTACATACTTTCTGGAGAAAAGAGCAATATGTTTCCCTATGAGACACTTAACTCTAGCTTTCAAAATCTGCCAAGACTTGGAAATGTTATTCATATATTCTTTCTAACCCTTTCTTATAGGAATAATT